TATATATATATATATATATATACTAGTTTATAACCTGTGAAAACCACAGATACAAAATTAATTCAATTTTCATAGCAAAATTTCATAATTAGAAATCTATTATTTTAAATAATTAATTAATTAAAAGATATAACAAAATTTTAAAGTTAGTTATAACTTCAAATTTAACATATAATTAAAAAAGTAAATGTTACTATATAAAGTTTAAAATCTATTATTTAAAACCTTAACGTCATTAAATGTGATATTGATTTGTTTTTGTTTTTTTAGGTGTGTGTAAGGGAAATGTATAAAAATGTCTATAAGCAATTTATAAAAAATACTAGTAAATATAGATTAAATTTTAAATAAGTTAAAACCATTACTACTAAATATACAACATTTTAAAAAACTTATATACTAATGGTGTAACATTTAACAACTTCAAAAACCAAACACTATTTTGGAAACATATGACAAATTATGTAATTTTGGCTAATTAATATGTATTAAAATAAAATATTATCTTATTATTATTATAATCAATATATTGAGGTTGCTTAATATAGTTTATGCCATCACTTTTATTAACAAATAGTCGATATAAATTCGTATATAAGTATATAACATCATCTCGTTTTAATCTATAAAAGTAGTCTAAATTTGTTTCAATATAACGTATTTTTGATGGCATGTTTATAGCATTAAAATTTGTTTTCTTTATATCTTTATAATGGATTCCATTTTTTAGTATTGTTCTAACCGTCTAAATTCGAATATATATATATATAATATATATATATATATAATATATATATTATATATATATATATATATATATACTAGTTTATAACCTGTGAAAACCACAGATACAAAATTAATTCAATTTTCATAGCAAAATTTCATAATTAGAAATCAATTATTTTAAATAATTAATTAATTAAAAGATATAACAAAATTTTAAAGTTAGTTATAACTTCAAATTTAACATATAATTAAAAAAGTAAATGTTACTATATAAAGTTTAAAATCTATTATTTAAAACCTTAACGTCATTAAATGTGATATTGATTTGTTTTTGTTTTTTTAGGTGTGTGTAAGGGAAATGTATAAAAATGTCTATAAGCAATTTATAAAAAAATACTAGTAAATATAGATTAAATTTTAAATAAGTTAAAACCATTACTACTAAATATACAACATTTTAAAAAACTTATATACTAATGGTGTAACATTTAACAACTTCAAAAACCAAACACTATTTTGGAAACATATGACAAATTATGTAATTTTGGCTAATTAATATGTATTAAAATAAAATATTATCTTATTATTATTATAATCAATATATTGAGGTTGCTTAATATAGTTTATGCCATCACTTTTATTAACAAATAGTCGATATAAATTCGTATATAAGTATATAACATCATCTCGTTTTAATCTATAAAAGTAGTCTAAATTTGTTTCAATATAACGTATTTTTGATGGCATGTTTATAGCATTAAAATTTGTTTTCTTTATATCTTTATAATGGATTCCATTTTTTAGTATTGTTCTAACCGTCTAAATTCGAATATATATATATATATATATATATATAATATATATATATATATATATATATATATATATATATATATATAGAGGTTAAATATGTTTCCTACATCTATTACATCTATTGTGTGCAAGAATGCATCAATAAAAATTTAGAAAAAATTAAATTATTATTTAATCAAATAAAGATAGATATTAAATGATTTTCATATAAATATATATATATATATATATATATATATATATATATATATATATATATATATATATATATATAATTAAATTCATACTTATAATTCTGTTTTTATGAAACTAATTAAAGTCGTCATTAATGTCAACAATAATATTCTTTCAGAATGAATTCGTATCTAGAAGAATGAGAGCGTATTCTAGCAGAATAAGAGTGTATTCTAGTAGAATACACTCTCATTCTTCATATTTCATTCAACTTTGTTGTATTTTAAGTGAGTGAGTCCTGAAACAAAACACAAACTCATATATAAAAACTTAGATGCGATTTCATTCCGAAAAAATGTTATTGCTGACATTAATGACAAATTTAATTGGTTTCTATAAAAAGAGAATTATAATTATGGATATCACTTAATATACATACAATTATGGAAAAAATTTAATATCTATTTTTATTTAATTAAATAATTATTTAATTTTATTAAATTCCTATTGGTGCATTCTAGCACATAATAAATATAAAAAACACATTAACTAGCCCTATATATATATATATATATATATATATATATATATATATATATATATATATATATATATATATATATATATATATATATATATATATATATATATATATATATATATATATATATATAGACACACACACACACATAAGACCATCTTATTTTTCAAAATTAAGTGTTTGATATTTTTTTTAACTTTTATTAGTTTATGACGATTTCTCATGTTTGGTGACTTTGCCTGTAGCAGTTTTTAAAGCAGTTTGTCCCCCCATGAAACCCCCAGCCCTCAAGTCCACGAGAGGGGATACCTCTGTAAGGTCCACACATGCATGTTTCCCTCTAACCTATCCAAAAATCAAAATGTCAGCTAGCCTAAGGGTTGACATTCCTTCTGCCGGGTCAGTCAAGAAATTCACAGTTGCCTATTTCTTGGCGGAAACCCCGCCACACTTAAATAAGTCAAACAAAACATCCCTAACCATATCATGCCTGGATTTGAACCCCCGATAGTTCTTTACATTGAACTGCATGCTCTCCAAAAGAGTCCAAACATGCCTTGCGACACACCGGACATATCTCGTCAACTGGGAATATTGGAATCATGAGTCGATATTTGAGGATAGTACAATACTCCACAGGAGACATATGTTGGCCAATCCCATCTATAGGGATATCTACAAGAAAATCTTGAGCATGTGGTGCACATAAGCACTGGAAAACCGCTTTCTGCCGAGCCGTCATGTCGAGATGCACTTCCATATCTTGGACAATTTTACGAAAAAGGGCACTCACCAGTATATTCTGCGATTTATGGGGGGTGTCTTTAGTAGTATAACTGCTAAGGTCAATATCCAGGACCTTGTTACGAAGAGAAGCCAAGGCATAATCATAATCTGAATCCATACCATATATGTCGTTATCCCATAAGATGTGGTCTTGCAATACCCAAGATTGGGCCCTTGATGCAACAAAAGCATATGAGGTAGTCTCTACTGCCGAGTATAAACCCAAACCACCAAACATAATGGGTAAGGAAACAATTTGCCACTATATGTCGCCAAAGAAAGGGTCACATTCATACCATTTGAATTTGATACATTTGATTTCCTCGCGCCGGATGCGGTGGAGCTTGTTAATAGAGTACAACCGATCATGCATAGCAATGTTATATCCCCTAAATCTATGGATGTAGTCTTCAATACAATTAACTTTACCATACAGAAAAGGCTTAGCGGCGCAGCTTGTTGCCCGTTTGCCATCTCACTCGTTATACGATGATAATTAAATTATGGTAATTAATTTTTTTTTAGTTTAGGCAGTTTAGTTTGATTTTCTATATCTAAATATATTATTGAGACCGTCTCATTTTCGATATACATAACATGATAAAAATTTATGTGAATACGACATATATTGGACATTATACATATTTAATTACAATCTCAAAATCAATATTTTTATATCATTATAAAGTATGTTAGTTATTTTTCCGTATATTATAGCTTTAAAATATAAATTTCTATGGAGCTCAAATCAACATGATTATATAAAATATATGTATATTACATTGAATATGATATTCCAATATAATCCAATTTCTAATTATATTGTTGTATTCTTTTTGATGTTTCTTTGATGGGCATAACTTCTATTATCCACAGTTACCCATTAAAACTTTTAGCAATGGGTTCTCCAAGATAACGTTTGAGGCATATGAAGTGTTAATAGATAATTTTTTTGTCCCATATTTATTGTTTACATTATATTTTGAAGTCTTTTAACTTTAACTTTAAATATTTTTATTTTTGATATATAATATTTGATGAAAAATATATAAATGGATTGTTTTTAAATGTGTTTTTATTGTTATAAGTTTCATTAAGAAATATATATCACAATTAAAATTATCTAAGGCTTTAAAAGAAAAAAGTAGACGACAAAATATCAAACGAAAGCACTATAAAGGAAGTGGCAAAGCATCCCACCGTCACAACTGGATGATAGTTTACAATGTAAACTATAGCATTGCTCTTGCCACCTGCTGCGCGCACAAGTTGGTAAAGAAAAAACATTAAAACGAGGTCTACTATTAAAATGCATCCTTAATTATATTACGAAACAGCGTTTAAATTATTTTCTTATATATATATATTAAATGTTTTAAACAACTATTTTAATTTTAGAAACTAAAGCGGGGACAACGAGATACGAGATTTCTCAGATGTTTGTGATTTTCTGAGCTTAAATACTACATTTAATTTTTCTGTTTTCAATTATTAATTAAGGATAAGTACGTAAATAAGCGTACAACAAAATTCGGTAAGTTAGCATAGTGTTTTGGTTATTTCGGGCCATATTAAATAAGATCATCAAACACTTCAATTACATCAAAGTCTAGACTCAACCATGTACAATTGGTCAAAATATATATTATTTTTAGTTCTATTGTCATTCATTAATATATGGTGTAAGAATTAATGATGAGTGATGGTCTTCTAGACTTTGCTACCATTAAGTCTCAACGCTAACATGCAGGAGGTAAATTACAATAATCTAATATATATCCCCGATCATTATTTACACAAGATCACCCAGTAATTCAAGGATAGTTCAATATTATATTTGAATCGCCCAGTAACATTACATTACCTTTTGTAAATTAGTAAAAAACCCATTTAAAGTGCAATTAACTGATTATAAGATACAAATCTACCAAATACACGGTTGATGTTATTATTGGCACTTTCACATAATAGGGCATGCATACTCATTGGGGCTAAGAATTTGACCACTCTTAAGAAACCCTATAAACGCCATGAACTCTCTACAAGATTTAGCATACGGATCTATTCGCAAGAAAGGTGGGAAGAACAGCCAAAAGCTAGTAATCATCACAAATGACAAAGTTAATGTTCGGGCCACAACTGGTGAGGGTTGTAAACGCTGACCCATGGTTTTCTTGATCACAATCTCGATTCCAACACAAACCCCTTGAATTACAAAGAAGCAGGTGAATTCCCCTGTTGGCCTCAGTCGCCCAAGATGGTAAAAGATTAACTCGTGCACTAACCCAGACACTAGAAACGTCGCAAAAACTGCAGGCACTGATACCCATCTTTCAGGAACCAGATGGCTAAAGATGGCACGCGCAGGATGGTAGACTGTAGGGCGTAGTATGCTAGACGCCATGAGGTTCCACCTTTTCCCCCAAAAGTTTTGCACCGATGTAGCATGGTGAGGCTCATCAAACTGTGGCTCGAGTTCAACCCCAACTATTGTTCGAGCTAAAGAAGCTGTCATGGCTAACAAGAGTTCAAGCATGAAGAAGAGATAGTATGCATATAGAGATGTGGTTAGTAAAGGATGAAAACGGTCTTTGTAACTGTACGCCTTAAGTGTAACGATAAACAGCAGAACCCTTGGAGCATAGTCTTTGGGGGATTTCTTGTTCTTGGTGATCTGGTTAGATACTTTTTCTCGATTTCTTATGATCTTGATTGGGCAGGCAAGCCGTAAATACGAAGTGAGATATAGGCAGATGTGGATACGAACATAAAGGACCTTTACCAAAGGCATAAAGCATGAGCTTGAAGCTTCCAAGCCATGATATGAAGAAAGAGGTTAGACCGCAGAAGAACATGGTGTGGAGATTTAAGGGAAGAAATAGGAAGAGACATATAACGGGAAATAGCGCCAAGAATCTAGTTGTACCTTCACCAATAAACGTCCCAACGCCATGGCAATAGAGAAGAGATGCCAAAGCTATACTCCAATCTAGTATTAGATTGTGCACTTCTCCTTCCATATCTAGATCTATTTTCTCAGTTTTGTATACTTTGTTTGTTCTCGCAGCACAAGTGTTTAATCAGTGGTAGAGAAATATATAACACTCAATATATAACTGGTAATATTGCCACATCATCGTCAGATACTTGTAAAACCGTCTAACTATTGGTCATTTGCTGGGCCCCAGCTTTTGGACTACTAACTTATGTATTAGGGCCTGATCTGCGTCTCAAAATGAGATATGATCTCTATTAGTATTATTTGAAAAGAGTTTAGAAAATTAAGGAAAAAAAATAACAGCTCTCGTTTAAAAGAGTTAGAAATTATGGAAAGAATTCAAGAAAATATCAGAACACGGACACTGTAAAAATCTTTTTACCACATGTCACACTCTTATTGATTTTGTCACATGTCATTTTGTGGTTATTTTCATTTAAAATTTTTTCAGATGGCATTTTGTGGTTTTTTTCCATTTTATTAAATTTCACGTAATATTTAAATGTAATATTTGCAATAAATGTAATAATAAATGCATATCAATTTCAATAATTGAATTTCCTTCTAATTTCAACATTTGTAAATTAAAACTTCATTAGTTTCCTTTGTTTATATATCTAAATTATTTGTTCAAATTTAAAAGATAAAAAATCATTTTAATTTTAATAATTCAATATTTTTTTAATTTTTTTTTATAAATTCAAACTTTTTTAAATGTTTAGAATTTTCATATTTATTTTTCTTTTAAATGAACCAATGTAATACATGAGTCATACACCTAGTAATACAATCAAGGAAAATCTCTAGAAAAGTTTCATTAATTTAGGAAAAATTAATTAATTATTTTTTTGAAACGAAAAATATACTAAACTACTCCTAAATTATTTAACCTATGTCCACAACAGGACTTGAACCCTAGACCTCAATGAGGGAGGGCAACTATTAAGTCTTATTATTAATTTTTTTTAAAATATAAAAACATGAGAAACCGTCAAATTATTCACTTTAGCTATTTTGACATTTTGACCTGTTCTGCTCCATAGGTCATGAGACCAAATCGTTAATATTCCCAAAATAACTAGACTTTTCTATAGATTTTTTCAAAATTTGTTATAATTTATAAACATATTTTTTATTTATTTTTTAAGTAGTTTCATATATTTATTTTATTTTTAAGTTTTTTATGTAGTTTTAATGTTTTTATGTATTTTAAATGTATAAACATACTTTTTACGTATTTATATGAATTTTTAAGTATTTTTATGTACTTTTATGTATTTTGTTATAATTTTCATGTATTCATGTTTTTAAATTTTTTTATATAGTTTTTTTTTAAATATTTTTATGTTTTTTAAGTTTATAATTGAACTTTTTACGCATTTATATGTATTTTTCTAAAAATATTTTAATGTATTATTGTATCTTTTTTTTTTTTACATATTTATGAATGTTTACTTCAAATTTCATTGTAAGTTGATTATTAGACTTTGTAAATGAATAAAAAAACATTAGAATACTTCGAAACAAATATTATTCAAAGACTATCCTTAGCAATCAATGTCATTTTTGCAAGTAATTCTTCCATAGTCTCTTGAATTCAGTTTGTAGATGAATAAAGTTTATGAATATCATTGTCGTTAATAGAGATATTTGTAAACTTTGTTCATCTACAAATTGAATTTAAGAAAAAAAACTAGAAAAGTTCACCTACAAAAATGACATTGGTTATTGATGATCGTTTTTGAAAAACGTTTGTTTTGAAGTATTATAGTTTTTTTTTTCATTTAAAAGGTCTAATAGTTAGCTTAAATGAAACTTGAAGTAAAAAAAAAAATACATAAATACGTAAAAATATACCAAAATACATAAAAATACTTAAAAAATAGACAAAACTAGAAAATTGGTCCATGTGGTTTGCAAAAAACTATAGATAAGGTCCATAAAGTTTTCAACTTGCATGGAAGGTCCAAAATCAGATACTTTCCGTGGTTTTAGTCCATGGAGAACTTAAAATGACCGTCTTACCCTTTTAATTTTTTTTTGTATTTTTTCTATATTTCTTTTAATACTTTATCAATTAAAAATAATAAACAAAAGATTGGACCCACCCTATCCCACCCCACCGTCCCTTCCCCATTCTTTCCATCAATCTCTCTCTCTCTCTCTCACGCACACACACACACACGTCATTTAACCCAATATGATCTTAATCAGGGTTCTTTAAGTTCTCCCACCAATATCTTTATTTTCACACACTAAAACACAAACATACATAGAAAAACTCCAACTAATAATCGTCATGTGTGAGCTTAATGTTCTTTGGGTTCTTTTAATTTTTAGTATGTGCCTATGTGTTTTTCATTTTAGTATGTATGTGTGTTTATAGTTTTCATTAGTAATCAACAACCCTTGAAGTTCAGATCAATCAAGACTATAGACGTTTATATAGATCGTTCTTTCCCTCTTTCAATCAATAGTCTACAACGATTCATTTGTCATCCAATATCTCTAATCATTAAGAAACCTCAGCGATTTTGAGGTTTTTGCGGAAAGAGTAGAAGAAGTTTCCAACAAGGATACGACACCAACTTTTTGCAGACTAAGAGAAGCTTGCAGTGGTCGATTCTTGGGATGCAGATTAAACATGCGATAACGAGGTCGTAAGGCAGTCCGAACAGGAGAGGACATTGGTTGTGGGTTCTGCCTCGTTGGGTGGATTGATGATTTGATGTCTAGCTGGAGACAAAGCTTTGAACCTGGGACGTATCTTTTTGCTCTGACGACAGTTTTTAGGCTAACGTCTACTCTACATAACCTGTTGTATACACTTGTAAACAAACATCATCGTCTCTAATGGGAACAAAATGGCATAACCGTCATGAACATGAAAAAGAAGAAAAAGGGATATAAATTGAGGATCTTTACTAAAACAATTAAATAAAAGCCATGGGCGCGACTATTATGCCTTTCTTTGTGTTATTGTCACACCCCTGGACGGCGGCGGAAGCACCAGGCTTTGCTACATTAGGATGTTCGGATTCAGGCCAAAGATAGACATTGAGTAATACACTGGATATATTAAACAACATTTCTATTTATTCATTAAATAAAATATATTACACAGTTGTTCGAGGTACAAGTAGGCCACGAAAGCGAAGTACAAAAGTAAAGCATACAGACTCCAGGCTACATCACAGAGGTTATCTCCTCCTTCAGACAGGTTCATTCTCCTGAGAACACATGTGGTTTGAGAGGTCAACATATTTAATGTTGGTGAGTCCACATGTTTATGATTTTAAAGTGTTGTATGGGTGTTTTTGTTTATATTGTTTATCCTAAACTTGCTTCCTCAAGTTTGCGTGTACTATCACTACTTTCTTAGATTGGTTCCTGGTAGTAGTCTATGATAGTTAGTTTTAGTTCAACAATGTTACAATGTGTCTAATAAGGAGTTACTAATAAGGAGGCCATGGGTTCTATCCCATGCATATACTAGACCACCATTCAAAAAAAAAGGGGCCATGAACTGACCTGTGAGTTATGAAAATGTTGTTGTAGGGTAGAAACTGATGGGTTTTGAGCGCTATAACAACCCTATGGTGCACATACAACCCTAGATGCTTTGGATCTAAGTTTTCTCAAGTTATACATGGAATTTCATTTTATCCAAAGCATACACCCTAGCTAGCATGCAATTGAAGATATACAACATAAAACTAGTTAGATGAATACCTCTTAGTTGTAGCTTGTAGTTCTTGGCCTTTCAAGAGCTTAGTACCTCAAGTGTGATACCTCTAATGAGTTACAAACACCAAAAGCAAATGGAGGCTTGTGAGAGAGAGAGGTTTGGAAGCACAAAATCGGCTAGGGTTCCACTTTGAAATACATTGGCCGATTTTACGGGGGTTAGGGGTTACATTTATAGTTTGGAATTCCTAGGTGTAGATCCAATTGAGTCGAGTAATCAAACAAATCAGAGTACGAAATGATTTAGAACACAAGATCTAAATATAATTTGTTTGGCACGTTATATTGCTTGATCAGTTGAATACAAGAGGGAAAGAGAAATGATTACAATCACAAAAGTTCTTAACCTCTAAAGTATCCTTCCCATATTTGTAGGGAAAACTGAGAGCACAAAAAATATAAGGACTTCAACATCTAAGCTTCATTACAAAAGTAGTCCTTAAAATAAACATACAATCCAAAATTTCGATATTACAAGTAACAAAGATAATTTCGACATCTCACAACCTTTGAACCCCAACATTCTCCCCCTTTGTGAGAAGTGTAGAACCTAAGTCATTAACATTTGGATTGCTTGATGCATCGAACTTCTAATCGCTGCATACCAATTCATCACCATCTACAACTCAGCCTTATCTTTGTCATTGTTCTTCTTACAGTTATTCATACGAACCATCAGGTTCATATAATGAGATGTACTATATCTTTCGACATCACAGGCTTGAAATAAATACTTCATTTTCTTCCCTTCTTGCTTCTTCCAACAAAAACTATTCCAAGAGGCTTTAGACAAATCTCTCCATCATTATAAGGCTGCAAATCAACTTTACTCTTCAAAATTGATTGAGGAAGAGTTATCTCTTTGCTCATTGTCAAAGCTAATTCAATGTCTGTCAAGGCTAAACAATTGAAATAATTGTCTATGAAAACCTTTATATGAGCAAGACCCATCAAATAATATTCTTTGCTTGTACTCTGAAGTATCGTTTCATTGTTGACCTTAAGAATCTTCGCAACTGTGATCAAGTCATTTAGATTCATAAGAGGAAAGTCAGCAACAGTAAAGGTGAATTTGGTATTGTTTTCCCTGATCACATGATATCGAAAGTTTTGAAGAATAAAACATCTTTAGATATATTCAAAACTCGAACTATCTTGATGAGTGACCACACTTCTTCTTCTTCTTTCCTAAGTAATGCATGAAATCGAAACTTTAGCTTCTTTAACTCTTCCTTGTCATCAAACTTGTCAACAATCTGATAGTGCGAAGTAAGA